ATCCCTTGGCAGTCGACAGAAGCCTCACCAGCCAAGGGGGGCTCTCCCGATAGGATAAACCCCCAGTTTTGGAGCACCAACGGCGGGCGCTGATCCAGGCTTCACCATCAAGCCCAGCTCTGGAAGCGCGTCACGCGAGCGGACAGCACGCTGCTTATTTTCCAGCAAGAAATCCAATGCCCTTTTAAATGCAATTGATGGAAACCCCCTCACATCCTTAAATTAACAGCTCCAATGGCTATTACTGGGTTTAAGGTATAATTTTCTCCTGCATGCAAGAATGCAGCTTCAGGTTTCCGGTCATTAGGATTTTTTATACCCTTGTCCTGCAGATTAAAGAGCCTTCTCCCCCAGGTAAGCACTTGCAGACCGCAATAACACGAGCTCTGTTAAAATCTCCTGGATAAAGCACAGAAATCTCAACTGCTCACCAAAAGACAGGCTTTGCACAAGAAATATTCTTCTTCTTCTTCCTCAACTGCTTTTCATTTGTCAGGGTTTGCTGCCTCAGCTCCTGCTGCTGGCTGGACACTTGTGCTCCCCTGCTGCCCATGTCTCCCTTGGGCTGAGAGAGACACCCACCAGTGCAGGGACATGGGGACCTCATTGGCACAGGAGATGAGCAGAAATCTTCAAGCTAAGGTGGCACCTGCTACAACCTCAACGTGTTGCATGGCTGAGCTTCAAGGCCATCAGGGCCTTAAGATTAAGCTGATCTTTCTCCAAAATATGCGTAATTGTAAAATTTCTATCATACAGCAGCATTCGCATACAGAGCACTACCAAACGAGTTACCCCCAGGCACGCTGCCTAACACATTCAGATTGYTATTCAAGATTCAGCCAAAAATTGTGACTGCTGATTGAAACACAGAAGAAATTCATAAACCCTGTCCATCCTGCAACAGCATATGTAAATAAGCCTCACATTTAGTTCCTCATCTTTTAAGAGTCACTTAAGCCTCAGCGCAGGCCTTAAGCTCAGGAAGCAAACGTGTGGGCTGCTACTTAAACACAAGCCTTCAACCTTCCCTCTTTCCACCAACACGAGCATCAACCTTCCCTCTTTCCACCACCTCCTGGGATCCACATGGACTCGCTCTGTCCACAGACACCTCAAAGAATCTTACTAATTACTTTACAGAAGCAATGAATTTGGTCAACAATTCCTTAGTGCTAAGCAGTGTAAAACTTAAACTAAAACCTGAGGGATTTTTGGTACAGTAATGTTATTCCCTCTAAAATAATTAGAAAAGGTTGAGGAATTATTTGAATATGCTTTTTTTTCTCTCTCTCTTTTCCTCATGTTTTCAGTATTTGCTGCAACTTTTCACTTGAGATTAAATTTCGAGACCCCAAGGAAAAGAAGAGGCATTTCCATTAGGAAGGTGAGAAAATGTACACTCAAAACAAACTTTCTCTGAAAAGCTGTGATGGCAGCTCAGAAAACTGAGAAATGGATACGAATCCTTCAGAAAGCTTTTGAGCAGGTTTTTTAGGGATTTTTATACTAGCTCCTCCTCTATATCTGCTCTCATATGGCTCTTTTCTGCTACCAACACCCAACTCCTACCAGGACAACCTACTCCAGGTAGTGGTCAGCACTGCTTGAACAAACWGAAGTGTCACTCTGGATCAACTAAAACTATTCACAGGTTTCTATTAAAGCTGAAGTATATATATGCAGAAGTATTAAAAACTTGCCAGAGGAGTAACGGCATTTATATCAAATACTTCTTTTTCAGATGAATTTGTGCACATTTAATTGTAAAGCCCAAAAAAAAGAAAAAAAAAAAAAAAAGCCCCATTAATTTCCTGATAGTCTCGTGTTTTTTGGTATAAGTGATGACCAAGGAAAGCAATTGTTCATCCATAACTCAGCTGCCCAAAACTATGATAAAATACAATAGTTTGGCTGTGAAATAATTAAAAACTGCTCTGACTTGCAAGTATTCAATATATTCCTGCGGAAAGAAATTTCTTGGCACTCTCACACATTCAACAATGCAAAACACAAGATTCAAATGTGCAAAAACAAAATGGTAATTGCAGTGTTTCTATTCTTGGCCGAATGAACCTATCTTTGTTTAAATATATAGAGAAAAGGATAAATATAGTCTTTTGTCAATCAACATGTCTTGGGAATGCTACCAGCTAGACATCTCCGAAAGCAAGGAGCCAACTTACAGAAACATATAGGAAAGAACAAAGAACAGACTCAAAGACGTGAGGTACATTTGCTAACAGCTTTTTCTTGTGCAGAAGCACAAACTCAACACTGCTGGTTTCACATGAGAAACTTCCAGTGAAAGCCTGTACAAGTGGAGATGAGCCAGCACACACTGAATGGCTAGAAAGCATTGACGCTTGACAAGATACTGGAATGCGGGCAGCCTCGTGCAGAGGGAGCTACTTGGGGTTTATCATCCKGTCTGGGAAGGCTGAAATTGGTAAATGCAGTTACATAAAGCTTCTTTCTGATTAAGCTAAAAACGTCCTGCCTAGTGCCCTGGTACCCTCTCCCATCTGCTAAGCTTTGCATTCAGTAGTTTACACGGCAACTTAAACTACACATTTTGTGCTGCTAAAGCGTACTTTTTTTGATTGCTTTGTCCAGAAGGGCACTAATTACTTCATCCAAGTAGTCTTAGGTCCTCCTCCTAATTTTTTTGATGATGTATGAAGACTTTTTCTACTGAGAGGAGAGACAGATCTCCAGATCCACCATAACAAACCATCCACCATCAAACCACCAGCCACCCAGATCCACCATCTGGATCCAGATCTGGAACCACCCAGATCCAACATCAAACCATCAGCTTTTCAGCCAAAGAAGTAAAAGCAGCATTCATGCTTCTTCACTGTTGTCCCTCACGCCCTGTTTAGAAGATGCACAAAAGATTAGAAAATACCATTTTCTATACCATATACTAGCAAACACCATTTATTGCTTTAGGAACTAGTGGATGTTCCAGTACTTCAGAATTCACAACCAGGTGAAACGAGGGCTCCTAGATGGTGCGTGTTGGTGTGTGTTGCATGGGCTGCACATAGAGAAGCGCCACTTTGGGATATGAGAGCTTAACTTTGGCTGTTGCCTTTGCTCTTGGTGCAGGTCCTGACAGTTCTGCTGAGGGGTCAGATAGATCACAACTGYTACGCCAGCAATGTTTGTTAAAATAGAGAAGCACCATACACTACCTAAGGCTCTTCTTGTGGTGCCTACTCCTTTAAACAGAATTTAAGAGATTTTTTTTCTTTTTTTCTCATTAAAAAGGAGAAAGATCAACAATGATATGTTGYCTAGTAAAGGCTAGCTGTGCAAGACAAGAATTGCATCCAAAAACAGATTTTTGCCAACAAATAAAATTAGGAAAKCAAGCTTAACAGCACAGAGTTGAACCAAAGGGTGAATGTGAGATCAAAATTCCCAATAGGCTCAATAATATCCAAACTTCTGTCTCGGCAGCACCGTTCACTTCTCTTAATAGCCACATCTGTTCACATCTGCCTGGAAGGAGCTCTCACTACTTGCCATAAGCCCATGTCTGACTGACTCCACTAGTTCCTTGTGGCGTACGTCTCACATGATGTGGTCTGGTGTTGCCCTAGTATAAGTTTTCCTGGGAAAAGATAAATGAATTCCCTTCCCTCCTATGAACAACCTAACAGAGGCCATTTAGCCAGAATGTTAATGACCAAAACTGGAGAAAGGGAGGCACCCATCTGTCTACAGCAAGGCAGTAAAGTGGATGAACAGCAAAGCAGTAATTCCGTGAGGAGTCTGAGAGATATTCTTCAGGTTTAAGTGAAAATTTGCAGTTTTGTGGTACTCTTAATTTTCATTAATGAAATTCCTCTCCCCTCCATCCCATCAGTGGATCTTAGATCACTGTGGTCCAGGGAAAGTCTAGGTTTGTCTACAAGCATAAGAAACAACCCACGTCCGTGAGGCTCCCGGGAGCCCCAGCAAGACCAGCTCTGTGGCAGCCCATCACACAAACCACCAAGCGAGGGCCAGCTCTGTACCATAGAGGTCTGGCTCAAACGCTTGGTGCCAAGAAGTGTAACAACTCCAGAGCTAGAGACCTCTCCTAGGAGGGAAGATCAACCAGTCTCATCAGGCTTCACATGGGCAARGAGCAATTTTCCTCAGGAGCACTTCTGGCCATACCCATTTCCAAAGCATCCAGGCTTCAYCCACAAAGTCTGGGAATCTTGCGTAGTTCTCTCTCACTGAATGAAAATAAATGCATGCAATCTAACAGCATGTGGTTAGAAAAGCATTTCCAAAGCAAGTCTCAGAGCTGAGTAACTGAAAGCATCCCCACTGAATTACAGGTTGCATATTGGCAAGCAAGACTAAAAAGAAAGGGGATTTTGCAGGAGTACCTTCTTGAGACCTCTCTTTCGCTGCTCTGTTCTTGATAACATTTCTAGAAACACACTGCAGCATTAAGTGTTGACTTAGCACATAATTTTATTAAGAGGCGGAGCAAGATGCTCATTTGGCCATGGACTGTTAAACTGTGGTCTGGGAAAACTGGCAGATCACATCAGGCACTGAAGTATCCAGGTAGCCTAACTCTGAGTACAAATTGAGCAGCTAGGCCCACGTTAATCTTCCAGTCAATGSAGCGAGAGGAACACTTCCAGGGAGTACTTTGGGACAGCAAGCCCCAGTACAGTAACATAGGAAGTACCTGTCTCTCACCATTGACTACACACTGAGAGCAGCTTCACACATCTCTGAACTAAGTACTCAGAGTTAGGCAGCCTGAACACTTCCCTATGGTGTCAGCCCCTCACCTTCGCATCCAGCTGCTTCTAAAGGCCTCCAGGCTCTTCCATGTGAAGAAGAACTTGGAAGCTTGTAAAAGTAACTGGAAAGAAAGTGGGGTAAATCATCCTAGTTGCCTCGGAAGGAGTGACTGCTGTAACAGGGAGAAAAGGAGCATGAACAGGCAACAGAGAAGCAGAGTGAAAACGTGTGCTTCCTACCTGCCAAAACTCGGACTTCGGCGTCGTTGCCAATCCTTGAGCTCGCTGGGTTCTTTGCAAGGCACCTGTAGATCCCACTGTCCCCCGGCTGGATCCTGCTGATCTGCAGYGCTCCGGAGGGCAGCACGGCCAGGCGCGTGTCCGCCGGGCCCGGGAGCAGGTCCTCCTGGTTCCTCTGCCAGTGCACCACGGGCATGGGCTCGCCGACCACCTCGCACTTCAGCAAAACCGTGTCGCCCGCAAACGCCGTGACGGACTCTGTCTGCGACAGGAACCTCAGCGGCCCTGCAAGCACAAGCAAAGGAGGCAATTACACAGCTGCCGGAAACAGGCGCCGCGCGCTCCCACGCTGCTCCGCACTCCCTGAGCAATCCAGGCTTGCAAGAGAGACACTCTGAAAACTACTTGGAGATGGCAATAATGGCTGGGTGACTAACACTCTTTCCTCTGTAAATTACGCTCATTAGCGGCAAAGAAAAGATGTGTCATCAACAYAGAAAGCAACAAATTGCAACCTGTTCCTGGCGAACCCGCTCAGCAACAACTCGAACAGAGCACAAATACACCACAAGGCAACCCAAACTGTTCAGCACGGGCTGACAATCAAAGGAAAGCAAAACCAAGCTGGCGTTAGGGTCAGGAAAACGTTACGGTCGCATCTTTCTGTGTGATGGAGCCTTTTGTCTCAGCCGTGCACCAACCTGTCTGAGCGACACGTGCTCCAGGGCTTTGCAGGAGCGACCCGGGAACCGCTGGTCCCACGTGAGAGGCGGCAAAGGGGGAGCACGGGGGGCACGGAGCCCCCCGAGGCTACAAGGCACTTGCTGCTAAAGAGAACCCTTGAAATGCATCTTTCCTCGGCACAGAGCTTGGCCCCCTGCGTCCGCCTCTCCTAAGGAGGGAGGCTGGGGCTCAGCGCAGCTATTGGACACTCACCGGAAATTTCGGTCGAGTGCAGAGAGCTGAAAGCCAAACAAGCCAGTTGCGACTTCAAACTCTGCAGGCACAAGATGCTCAGGAAAGGGAGAAAAATAAGTCAACTGGGGGCCAGGTCTTCCACATGCTACAGAAGAAAAAATCTGCAAGAACAGGGGACAACCCACAGGATACAGATATGACCACGGACTCGATTAGCTGGGCATCTGCTCCAAGAAACAAGTCTTTGATAGCGCAGGAAACTCAAAGGCACGAGAAGCATCTAAACCTGATGAGCGAGCACAGGCTTTCGGGAAGCAGCTGTCAGCAGAGAGGAGAGGAAACCGAGCTAGAGAAGAGCAGAGATCCTGAGCGCCCGACACTGAAACGCTACCGCACCATTCACCAGAAGCAGTTTACAGGGAACAGAAAAGGCTTCGAGCGGGAGTCCCAGGCTCCTTCCCTGCCCAAAACACCCACTTCCCCAAGGCACTTCCCATGCGGGAAAACCCACCAAGCAGGACATTCCCGGAGCCCACTGTGGATGCTGGCATCTCATTCCCGACACGCTTACCACGGTTATCTGGCCAGCAAAGCACTGGCTTGCAGCCAGAGCTCTGCTAGGAGCCCTGGACATGTCTGATGCTTCACCTGCAAAATACAGGTATTCAACACGTCCAGCTTTCCATAGGGAAAAACCCAGAGGAGCAGAGCAGCRCGAGCAGCGGGGAAAGGCTGTTAAGAACTGCAGCCCCACGCACAGAYAGGGATTTTTCTTGGTAATATCTCAGTCTGAAAATCCAGCTGCCTTCATTCGGAGAGCACAGAAGAAAAGCAGCAAAACCTTTTTCCTCTTTCAAGCTCAAAAAACCACACACAATAAAGTTCAGGGCTCAGCATTTCAGGACCTTAGCRAAAGGTTTTGCTTTGTTGCAGGGAACAGGCAGTAACCAGCTCTTCTCCTGGACCCGTTGAGAACCCGCCTCTGCAGGAGAACAACCCTAAGGCTTCTGCTGGCTTCCTGCTTTACACTCCTTGATTTGGAAGGCAGTTTTTGAAGCCACACAGATGATGGGATCACCAGGAGCCAGCTCCGGGGATCGGACAAGGGAACGAGCTCCAAGCAGGTCATTTGTGGGAGGAAGCACCACACACAGACAGACACTCTTGGCTCCACAAGCCAACACTGARTGTGCCGGCTGCTCCAGACCCACGTCCTCTTAAAAATCCCAGTTAGGAGCAGTGCCCAGCTCCCCTTTGCCATGCAAGCTGCTTGGCAGCCTATCAGGATGCCCTTTCCTTCCAGGAGACCCAATTACTAGGCAATTAAAGTTCACTTAATAAAAAGGCTTATCATGATTCGGGGGACAGACCGCAGGGTTTGGAGCAGGTCTGGCTATCAAATATTTAGCAGCACTCGGCACAACCCCCAGAGAAGCGGCGCTTCAAATGCCTTGATGGTCTCCAATTAAAGCTGCAAGGTTGCTTAGCATCAAGACAAGCCCTTTTTCACTTCCAATTCACACAGTAGCTGCCAGGCAGGAAACCGAAGTAATGAAAAAGCACAATTTCCTTCAGAACACAGGGAAGAGCAAAAGCACGGGGGAGCGAGTCTGGAAATACAAGTGTTTTAAGAGCTGCTACTCATTCCCTCTCCTGCCTGGCTGGCTTCCCAGAGGCTCCTGCTCTGCAGCCGCTGCCTTCGCCTTCCCCTGCTCCCAGCTCCGGCAGAGCCCGCTGGGCGCGGCACATTCTGGCCGGGAACATCCAGCGCCGCTTCCATGAGGGCTCGCCAGCCAGGAAGCCCTGCAGCCAGGTGGCCTAAGGGGAAAAATTCAAACGCAASACTAATATTCTAATAAAATTAATATTAATGCAATTTTAGCCTTCTTTGCAATTCTTTTGCATAAAACTTGGGCAGTTATAGTTTATATGGGGGAAACTTGTCACCATGAAGGGCAGCTCGCAGGCAAGCGAAGGAGAGGGACTGCAGAGGACAGAGCATGGGGTTCCCAGGACCGAGGAGGCCACAAGAAGAGCTGCTGGAGTGGAAGGGCACCCAAGCTCCAGTGCTGTGCTGTGGAAACACCTTCGCCTCTAAGCGAGGTTCCGAGAACCTGCGGGGAACGAAGGAGGGAAAACATCACCTTCCGAGCGAGGCGCCCCAGAAGCCTCCTCCAACACCATTAATTTCCTCCCGGGGCAGAGCCCATTATAAATATTACAGGGGCAGTTCCTGGCGGCAGCCTAACTCCGTCAGGAACGGCTAACGCAGGAGAGATGGAGTCAGCACCTGCCCTTTTGTGCCTCTTGCCCATCACAGGAAATAAATGAACTTATTATTCCGAAAAAGACTTTTCTCTAACCCGTATTACCCATGTCAGCTCAGATTATCAAAACTGCAACAATTTTAAAATCTAATTTACTTGTCAGCTTTTATGCCGCTTGCTCGCCTGCTGCTTTCCTCTCAGCACCACACTCGGGGAAGGAACCTGTATTTTCCACCCATGGATTGATGCTGCGGGGGGGTTTTCATTGCAGACTCAGTGTCCTTATGGTCACTTCCACTTACTCTTCGTAGGTCTCTCTGATTCAAAACACTGAATTCAATCCTGGGCCTGAATGTCTCACCCACGTGGGGCACCCTCCAAACAAGAAAAACTTCCATTTCAGCCCAATCAAACAGCGGTCTCCGGGCGGCATTTCTCTTCTTCCTACAGCTCCATCAGCAGGTTTCGAAGTGCCAAGTTGGTCGTTGCCCAAGATCCCTGCAGGATCCGCGGCCTCCTCGCAACCAAGGCAGAGGCGCCTCYGTGGATTCCCGTGCCGGGAGCTCTCCCGTTCTCAGCACCTGCACCAGCTCCTCGCTCGCCCTTTGGAGCCTTTGCCGCAAGACTGCCTTAAAACAGAGCCACCACGCCAGCTTAGGGTATCTCCAAGGAGTATTTCCCAAAGAACAGGAAAAGAACAGTAGATCCGGGGAGCTGGAAACCGTTGGTGTTTGCTAACCTGCTCCCTTCGCGCCGCGGCCCCGGAGCGCGACTYGCGCCGCCCCGAGCAGCCTGCGGTGACAACGCACCTGCGCCGGCAGCAGAGACACTACTCTTAATCTTTAGCATTCGCCGRCAAGCCCCCGTAGGGCTTTGCCCCCGTTGGCACGGAAATCAGCGGGTGTAAATCTCCTCGTGTCCCTGTCAGCGCCTCCTGCCAGCTCCGCTGGCTCACAGCCAGGCACCGCCGAACAACTCCAACCTGCTCCTCCGGCAGCAAGTAAACAGCAAGAGAGGCCTTCTCCTGGCGGGAGGGGAAAAGAGCGACGGGTGCCACAATCTGCAATTAAAACACGCACAAACCCGGGGGCTCTGTAATCCACGGGCGGCAGCACCGGGGAGGCCGCTGCCTTGAAGCGCGGGGTCTCGGGGCAGGGAGCGCACGCAGCGAGCGTCGCCGCGGGCTCCGCAGCTACCTGTGCCCGTCTCCACCACCCGCGCCTCGTTCCCCGGGGCTTCCGCGGCCGGTTGTCATCTCGGGCCGGCAGCTCCGCGGGACACACAGTGCCCGGCGCGACGTGCGCGGTGGCCACTCTGCAGCGAGGGCAGATGATGCTCCGCATGCGACAGAGCAGTCCTGACACGCGGGAGGTCAAACCGCTCAGGGGAAGGCAGGGCAGGGTTGTGCTCCACAAACAACCTCCACAGCAGGGAGAATGTGCATGCACATCCCTTCCCTCTCCCCGCTCAGCTCAGTGGCTGTGGATAAGAACAGAAGCTGCATCGGTCACTCCCAGCACCTCGCAGCAATGAGCTGCTGCTCTGCTCCCTCCCCTGCCCACCTCCCATGAAAGCTCCAAGCAAGTTCCAAGCATTGAGTTTAAGGCACCATGGCACAGCTTCTTGATACCTGCTTAAAAAAACACCCTTCAGAACTCACAAGTGTCAAACAGCCCCTGTTTTCAGCAGYGCTGGAGCCCGTTTGTGCTGCACGTGGGACTCGCTAAGGGCCCGGGACAGGGTGCGCAACCAGCTCTTGCAAGAACGAAGGCAGCTCGTGCTCCTGGGGCCGCTGCCAGCGGTGTCCGTCTGCAGGGCTTTGCCTGGGGAAACGTCTCTGAACAGCGGAGCTCACGGCGCGTCCGCGGGGAGCCGAGACGTCACTGCGGATCAGCGGCAGGCTGCGAGCCGGCAGCCGCGGCTGGACAGGCTGCCAGCGGCAGGAGCATCAAGCCCGTGACTCTGCAAACGTCGCGTGTCGGTACGGATCCGGCGGCAGGCTGCTCCAGCAGGCTGATCCGGCAGCACTCGTCCTCTCAATGCTGCAACGGCGTGCAAGAGAGAAGGGAAAGAGGAGAACGTTCCTTCTCTCTAGGCACA